GCGCGCCTTGTCTGCGCGCCTTCCCAGAGATCCCCGCTCCGTCGCCGCACATGTCGCCGCCATTTTTGGAAAAATTTTGATTCGCGCATCCGAAGTCTGCTATTTTTCGGATTCGGCGCGAATCGAAATTTTCCTAATATTCGAAACGAATTCCACTTCGCCAAGTTCGATTCGCTCATCTCTAGATACAACTATAATTCTACTCCTTTACAAATGGTTTAGCCACATTTTGAGCATGCAGTCCAGTTTTAGTCACCAACCCTCATGAAGGAAGTTCCTGAACTGAGGAGAGTCCATGAAAGTGCAGCAAAACTAGTAAGGGAGCTGGAAGACTTCAGAACAATTACAAAAATTAAATATATTCCCCCTGTATAAGAAGCACTTAAGAAGGGATATGATCACAATATACAAATCTTTAAATAATGACTGTATGATTGAGAGAAAACTATTTAATCTAAGGTCTCTAAAGAAGACACATGGCCCCACGATGAACCTGGATAAAAAGGCAGTTCAATTTTAAACTGCACAAAGAGTTCCTAACTGCTAGAGTGGTAAAGATGTGGAAATTTCTTCCATGCCCCCATGGAAGAAAAATATATTTGAAATATATTTTAAAAATACTCTTCCCAAATATATTGACATATATTTGAAATGCTACAATTTTGGCCATATTCAATATATATATACTGTATGTTGAAATGCGTTTTTATTACAAAATATATGAAAAATATTTTTTAAAATACATTTCAAATATACTGTATGTCTTTAAAAATACAAATCAACATTTTTGGAATGCATTTAAAAATATATGTAAAAATATATGTTAAAATTATCTTTTTATATGTTAAAAAAAATCTGAAGAATATATATAAAGAATATATACTTTTAAAAATATAAAAATATTTTTCATATAGTTTGTAATAAAAATGCATTTCAGCATGCAGTAAATATATATATATATATATATATATAAAAAAATTTTTTTTTTTTAATATGGCCAAAATTGTAGCATTTCAAATATATGTCAATAAATTTGGGAAGAATATTTTTAAAATATGTTTCAAATATATTTTTCTTCCATATGGGTAGTTAGTGGTGTCAGATGTGAGTTTAGATGAATTCCAAAAAATGTAGATGTGTTTCTCAGGGATATGGCAATCTGTAGCAACATAAAACACACATATTGGTCGAACTAGACGAAGCTGTATCATCATTCGCCTTACCAAGTATGTATCTATTAGTAGGATGGAATGGGCATGACCCAGCAGTTGTGGAAACAAATAGTAGAACACACAGAAGATGGGGGAATTTCAGGAAACAGTTTAGAGAAACAAACTTAAGCAAAAGCACCATGAAAGATTTTTTTTATAATGATTGTGCCATGCACACACTAAGATCCCTAATATTATTATTATTATAATTATTATTACTCTATAAATCCTGTATAATAATAATAATAATAATCCCTGGGATCTAAATACATGCATTCTTCCCAACATTGGAACTTGATAATGAGGAACACCCTGGGATGGAGAAGTTATCTAGTGCACAAATCTCATCAACCTGAAATTAGACATGGCTACATTGTGCTTCAGCAGGAAGCTTCTTCCTATATTGCTTCACCACTTCCCAGCTTCACCCACACATAATCAGGTCCAAACCATTGCATTGTGTAGTCTGTGTGGACTTTACACAGTCATTGTAAATATGATGATGCTGTGGTATATGATTGCTATACATTACCAGAAATAGGACATTTTTATGTGCTTTTCCTTTCTGTGTTTTTTCTAACCTAATTTGCTTGAATTGATGCACATTGCAAACCACGCACCCATAAATCTGTGTCTCCACTAAATCTGTGAATTTGTCCACCTGGCATATAACTTTTGGTCAACATTGCCCTGTGTTAAAGCCTAAATGCAGCCAAAATTATAAACAGAAAAATTAGCACAATGGACATAACTTACAGTTAGTTGAATGTGTCCCTTGTGCTGATTCCTTTTCTGGTAGTGAAAATCTTATTCCATTCTGTCCCCCTCCACCCCTGCTGCTATAATCTTCCAGTGCAGTGGGGTGGATAGAACTAATGGTCTATCACAGGCTTTCATCAAGAAAGCCTGACTATGCCCGCCCTTCCCAGCTGCTCCATTCATAGAAACCATGTTACAGCACAAGGGACATAACTTACAGTTAGTTGGATGTGTCCCTTGTGCTGATTCCTTTTCTGTTAGTGAAAATCTTATTCCATCCTGTCCCCCTCCACCCCCGCTGCTATAATATTCCAGTGCAGGGTGGTTAATATAACTAATGGTCTATCACAGGCTCTCATCAAGAGAGCCTGACTCTGCCCACCCTTCCCAGCTGCTCCATTCATAGAAACAATGTTAAAGCTTCTATGAATGGAGGGGTTTGGAGCTATCAATCATCAGTCCATCCTCCATTCATTGATTCTGTTTCCGCCATCAAAGCTGTAGTATGGCTCAATAGAGCAGTTGTGCCAAAAGGGCTGGCATAGTTAGACTTTGATGGAAGCCTGTTACAGCCTATTAGTTGTATTAACCCCACTGCACCAGATGTTTACAATGGTAGGAGTGGGAATGGGGCAGTACAGAGGAAGATTTTCCCTAAGAGAAGTGGAATCAGCAGAAGGGATACATCTTATTGACTGTAGGTTATGTCCCATTTTCTGTTTTTAATTTTGGCTGCACCTAGGCTTTAAGTTCCCTGTCCTCTGGCTTTGCGTAGCTGTAAACATACTGCCCAGAGACCTGCCCCAATGAATGTCTACAACTGGCACTACCATAGAAAATCTTGTAGGGATGTGCACAACCCCACCTAGTACCCCCTCACTGAGACCAGCCATACCAGGAAATCTGAGTGGTAACAATGACATTACAGGTATGCTTTGCATTTCAGTGAGTTGTTATCCATTTACAAAGACACCCCAATGTGTATACACAGTAGCAAGGAGTAAACAAATGCATTTGCCCCTCAGAGCACTGTAATGCATGTAGTGAAGAGCAGAAGCACTGCATTCCATTCAAAGCAAATATAATTCAGGTGTTTTTTTCAACATGTGGTCAAATGAGGGCCCATTAAAAAGAAAATGGGCAACACACCTCAACGTGCATTGATACATCAGAAAATCCATGCAGGGGTATAAATGTGCACTTAAAGCTGGATTTACAGTAACCTGTTATGATCTATATTTTAGCTTTTGCTACCTCAATGCACTACATTGCAATGTATCTGTGCTTTCCAAGGCATTGACAATTAGTTCTGAATGTCACAAGTTAGCCTGCAGTTCTTGTTTGTGTTCTTACCTCCTTGTTGCAGCGCTGTTCCTGATTCCTTTCACATGTGTGGTTTGTCTGTGCTCACCCATGGGCATCGTCTGCTATTCTCTGGGTTTTATTTCCTTCCCTTCTATCACTTCCAGGCCCGCCTCCTTGTTTGCCTGTCTATATAAGACATGCTCAGTCTAGGCCACTTTGCCTGAGCAACAGCTTAGTTCTCTGAGCTCCTGGCTGTTACTACGCTTGTATCCTGTATCTGACTACCTGTGTACTGACCCCGGCTTCGTCCACTGACTGTGCTTGATCTCCACCCATCCTGACCTCGGCTTGTCTATCGGGTTCCCTGTTGTCTCCTGGATTACACTCTGCTCACGCGATTGGTCTCTGCATCCTCAGCTGGGCGTACCTGGGCGCCACGACCTGGTTCCAGCTTGCTGCAAGTCCATCCCCACCATCAGGGGCTCTGGTGAAGAAGCAGGGTGGGGCTTAGACTCCGCGCCCAGGGGAACCCAGAGTTGCCGGTCTACAAAGGCTCACTACCACAGGTCTGTGACACTGAATGGCACCCCAATACACAATGTACAATGCAAACCAAAACACCTACATGTCAGAAAACCACAACAGGTGTATGTCAATGTACATGGGATGCAGAACTGTGTTAGCCAAAAAAATGCATGTATGAATTTTAATGCAAAGATGCCCCAAGCTGCCAGAAAGCAATGCAAGAAAAAATGAGTTTTGAGTTGGCCCTGGTTGGTATTATATGTGTATGGAATTGCATATATTTCTGATTAGATGAGTTTGACAAAACAAGACAAAACCAGAAATATAATTTTGTTATTGCAACCTAATATGTGAACTTGAACATGTTTAACCTGTGCTGAAAGAGCTTTGGAAAGAAAGGATGATCACAATGCAGCAGTATTTGTGGCTATCTATCTATCTATCCATTCAGTCGTATCCGACCCTTGGCGATTGCATGGACCGTCACTCGTAAGCGACTTTTTCCATGAATTCTCTTAGCAATTATTTTACAGGGTAGGTTATTTGTGGCTATAAAGTACCACAAACGTAAATTAGTAACATATCTTACATGTTGTACACCTTTATGTATTAAATTGTTTGACAGAGACGGCATGCAATTCTAAATAAAACTTAAACTCTTTTTTTTGTGTGTCATGGCAGCCTACATATGGAATGGAACAGAATATTTATTTCCCTTAGGCTCGTTCTGTGCTTTCTCCACACAGTAAGTTTTTTTTTCTTTTAACAATTTAGTATTGGTACAGGTAACCATTGCGTTAAAGTAGAATTAAAGGCAATGTTCTTTCCATTTTAAATATAGAGTAAGGGGGGGGAGGTAATTTGTTTTGCCATCTGTGCCCAATCAGGGAGAATTCCCTTCATTTTGTCCATAACACAAACAGAAAATGAGATAAAAATCCCTCTGAAGTGAGGGAATCCCATGTTGTCACTAGTGTCACCAGAACTAGTTTCCCCATTGGAAGACTTTCTTTTTGCTGTTCTGGTGATAACCCAAAATGTAGGTTCTCTTTTATATTCAATGATAACAGCACAAAAAAGAGGGTGAATCTAATGGGGACAAAGCAATAGAAACCTGACAGGTGTTCTCACCCCTCTCCACTCTATTCAAAACTTTTAGTTATAATTCAAAAATGAATTACATTTAAAAAATGGAAATACATAGTAACTAGAGTAAGCACTCCCAGTTTCAATAAACAGCTATACTTACATCATTATGTTGTTGCATGGCTCGACGTACAAATGTTCTTCATAAGGCAAACACGATCCATTCTGAAATGTTACATGGTGCATCACTAACCTGTTCTGTATGAGACATACAATGGGTTTTTATAAGAAGACAGAGGCATGTAGAATACAGTATATAATGCACTTGGGCATATATGAAATCTACATATTAGGAGTCTCAGCTATACTGATTTCTGCAGGATTATAACAAATCTTAATCATAATAAACTTTATTTTATGTGGCACCTTAAACCACTTCCCTTCCGGCCCATGTACATAAAAGGCCGAACAGGAGCAGTGCAGGAGCTGGTGGCCGTTTATAAACGGCCCCTCGATTCACTGCCTGTGCGCGCTCCCTGGGAGTGTGCGTCACTGCGATCCGGTGCCCACTGTGTCTGAACACCGATCGCTGTACGGGACCTCTGTATGAGGTCCCGAATCATGTGATTACTGATTGGCTAATTAGTGATCATAGGAACAGTAGTAAACAAGATGTCACTTCCTGACATCATTGCTTACTATGTGTGAAATTTGTGAATGATCACAGAGGTCACATGGTACAAGGCTATTCACAAAAGCCTTGTACCATGTGCCAAGCTGTGACCAATCACAGTATTTCTCAATGGCTGCAAGAATGCAGCCAGAGAGAAGGAGAAATGATTGCTTTTACATCTTTTATGGGTGTAAAAGCAATCAGTGTAAAATAAGAAAAAAAATCTTCTTCACCCCCCACAAGTAGTACAGTGTCACTATGGTGACAGTATGTTAAAAAAAAAACAAATAATAATATAACAAAATCAAATAAAAATGTAAAAGAATTTTAGAAAAATTATAATTTTTGGTTGTAAACTAATTTGGGTTATTTCTTTTACTAAAAAGATAGATGAATGCATTTTCGCCAAGATTTATGAAGAAAGATTATTTATTTGCTAAAATTTATAAGAAAAACTTTTTTTTTTTCGAAATGTTTGGACTTTTTCATTTATATAGCAAAAAAATAAAAATCCCAGTGGTGAATAAATACCACCAAAATAAAGTTTTATCTGTCTCAAAAAAATGCTAAAAAATACATATGGGTACAGTGTTGCATGACCGCGCAATTGTCATTCAAAGTGTGATAGCACTGAAACCTGAAAATTGGCATGGACAGGAAGGGGGTCAAAGTGTCCGTACTTGAAGTGGTTAAAGGAAGCTTCTCAAAGTGCTTTACAAAGACAAGAGACTAAAACACAAGAAATACACAGGATAAAACAAAAGAAAGAAAGGACAATTATGTGAAAACTTGTCTAAAGGAAAAAAGTTTTTAGATTTGATTTGATTGAGTTTAGAGAAGATGACTCCGAGATGTTCTTTGGAAGTGAATTTCAGAATTTTGGAGCATAGCAGGAGAAGGCTCTGTCTATCATTGAGTGTTGGTGAGTAGGGGACACACACAAAAGACCCGAATTTGAGGAGCGGGGGTTACAAGGGAGGGAAAAGTTGATAAAAGTTCAGACAGGTAATGGGGTGCCAAGCCAAGAAGAGCCTTATAGGTAAGCAAACGGATATTAAACTCTTGGAGCTCATAAGTGAATGAAAAAGAATGAGGATGCTATCTGTTTCTGTATCTGAATCAAATGTTCATATCTGTAGCTGAAAATAATAGCTGTTCATCTACCAAAGTACTCAGTGAAATAATGCAGCTTAATAAATTTGTATTTTTATTTATTTATGTTTAATTCTTTATTTAACATTTCTTTAATTATTAGGTATTTATTATTATTATTATTATTATAATTATAAAATGTATAATTATTATTTTTAGTTAGTTATTATATTTAGTTGAAGCAGGTCAACAACCTTGAATATGCTTTTTTTCCCTTCAAGTAGGTAGAGCTAAGGAAACTAAATTACGATGAACCTGGTGGATGGGGGGGGTTACATAAATATGAAACTTGAAATACATTTCATGGGTCATCAATAATCTTGAATGGGTACATGGTGGTTTGTCTGATTCACATCAGACTGCACAATTGATGAATCAAGAATTCATCGCCTGCTTTGACTCCCATAGATCATGCAACGTAAACTGGTTTGTGAGAGTCCAAACACAGTTTTTTGTTTTCTTTGTTTATTTGGGGGGGGGGGGGTCAGAAAATTTGCATGTCACCTTATCCAATGCAGTCCACTTGATTTGTGGAGAATCATGAACCAATTAGCTTACCTCTTCCATTCATATTAAATTTAAACTCCAGGCAGATATAAATGTACACCAATAAATGCAGTTATGTACAGTATTTAAAAAATGTATTATTGTTATTATTATTGTGTGAGTCTTTGCAACTAGTGTTAGTACCTTTATTAGACTTGCTATCAGCCTCTTGTAATTCCTCATACAGCAGAGAAGGAGTGGGAGGGGCAGTGTTAAGTAATAGTCAGAAGAGATTGTAGAATAAATGATGACAAAAAACCTGCTGACAGGAGGAAAGGGCAGAGGGATGAGCTCATCTGTATTCTGCTGCTCCTTCACTATTTAGTCACAGGCTGAGGACAAGAAGTTGAACATGTAATGCGTAACCTCCCTGGTGATATTCCTGAGTGTAGCTCGGGGTAAAGTTTCCATACCACAAGCGGTAATCCCGAGCTACACTCGGGCTTACCATGCGACGCTGCTCCGCGATCCCTCGGTCACTTACCTTGTCCTGCGCTCCCGCGATGTCCCTCCTGCAGTGCCCCAGAAATGTAATCCGGCGGATGCCGGCATCTGTCATCTGGGTTCTGTCCCCTGCAAGCCTCGGGACGTACGGGGGACGGAACGGCGAGAAATTTGAAAGTGACAAAAAGTGACATTCACTAAAATCACATAGTAAAACATTACTGTATCAAACCATTTCACATACATTTTGTCCCGAGTGCTTTGTCCTGCGCCCTGCCTGCATTTTTACTGTTCTTTCTGCCTGGAAACTGAGAAACGTCCATGGCGCCCAAAAAGCGTCCCTTTAGGTCAAAAGCGGTTTTAGATCAGCTACAGAAAAGCGATAGTAAATCAGAACTACTTGCAGAATTGAGTGATAATGATTCGTGGGGGAAATTCGTCATCAGACACTATTTTGCGACTTTGCTCAGCGATGTGCGAACTTGGCGCTATATTTCAGATTTCAGTGTTTTTAGTTTGATTATATTATTGAATTAAATTTATTATTATATTATTATTTTTTATGATTATTTAATAAATTATAATTTATGATTTCGTGTTTCAAGTTTTATCCTACCCGGGATGTTTACTAGACTCTTGTTCGGACAGATTTCAGTGAGTTATTCCTAAGAATTACAGGCCTACAATATAAAACGCCAAATTTCCATGCAAAATAATGGTACCGCTTTCAGCACCAAAAATCTGACATAATCATACCGCCAGGAAGGTTAAAGTGACATGAAACCCTCAGTTTTAAAACACTTTCAGCAGCTGATTTAATTACTTACTGAGTATGCAGCTTCTTTTTGTTATGCAGCATCCTATGGAGCCACCCTTACAAGCAGGGACTAAGGTGGTGTCTCTCTACACTGCCTGCATCAGTAGAAACACACAGCCATGTTGCCCAGAGTGACAAGGAATTCCCCTGCTACTCCCTTCTCCATCTCACCCTCCTTTCTCCGAGCTAACAGACTGGCTGGAGATCACACTGTCCACTGTTAACTCTTTCCTTTGAGAACCGGACATTCAGGGAAACAGCACTGAGAGAGCAGGAGCCAGCGCTGAAAGTTGTAAACTGCAAGGGCTGGGATAAGAATTTTAAGAAATAGTTTGCTGGGGGAATGTTTATTTTATTGTGCTCAATGTGGTAAACTAACAAATGTTGAGGTATAATACCACTTGATTTACTAAAGGCAAATAGACTGTGCACTTTGCAAGTGCCAGTTGCTCCAGAGCTTAGTAAATGAGGTGAAGCTTCACTTTGCAAAGAATACCCAATCAGATACGAGAAAAATAATAAAAAAGCATTTTTTTTGCTTGCGCATGATTGGATGATGGAAGTCAGCAGAGCTTTCCCTCATTTATTAGGCTCTGGAGCATCTGCCCTTGCAGAGTACATAATCTATTTGCCTTTATTAAATCCACTCCAAAGTGAATGTAAATCCTAACAATGTACTTCTCTTATCTGCTCCATTTTGGTCTGTTAAATATCCAAGTAGGACCCCCACTATGTTGTACATGTAGAACCCCCACTGTGTTGGGTTGCACTTTTGATTCCACGTAGAAGGTTTAAAAGGACATTTCTGCACTATATTGGATCACTTTTCATGTATTGTGTATATCCACCTCACAGTTTTCATCCGATACCAAGCTTCCTATATTATTTATTTTGGTAGACATTTTGTGTTTGGCTAAGTGATGGATTTAAAAGAGAAGTTTAGGTTTTTTTTTTTCTGAAATCATACTTACCTAGGTGGATGCTGCTTCTGTCCCCCAGAACTCAGTGATCACATGACCGCTGATCACTGAGTTCTCACAGCTGCTGTGAGTAGAGTGTCTGCTCTGCAGCTGGCTCAGGCTCTCAGCAAAATGCTGAGAAGATGAGCCAGGTGCTGTTCCAGACTCTGGGGTGGATCCCAACATTAAAGTCGGGATCTTTCTCCCCGCCTGGACTGGCTGAGTGACATCAGCTGATAGTGGACTTCAGCCCGCTGTCAGCTGAAAACAGGTCACAGGAGTGCAGAACAAACTGCACTCCTATGATCCACAGGAGAAGTACAGGCAAAAGAGCTTTGGCTGTACTTCTGCTTTAACACTTTCATGATCAAAGAAGATATGTCATTAATTTTGTTTTACAGTGTTACATGCGCTGTATTGGAGTTATGCTATTTTAGGTATATACTATACATTCCTACATTATTTGGGGTGTATAAATACAGCAGCATTCTAATAAAATTATTTATTGTCTGGGTTGTTTGGTCCTAGCACAGAGAGGTGATATATTACTTTTAAATATACAGTTGAAAGTGTTCCATTATATCTATTCAACAGGGGCAAAAATACCCGCTGATACTGCCAAATCATGTGAGCTGATAACTTCCTGTGCTTTCTACCTCTGCTGACACTTATCATTTAGTATTGTTCCCAGCTCTCTAACTACAGAACACTTTCACCATGTTATGGAGACACGGGGAGGGGAGCGGTTCTGTAGTCCTATCACAATTTCCTCCCTGGAATGACAACCCAGAATCTCCATAGAAACAGTACAATGAGTAAGCAGTGGTGTATTTATGTTTTATGCTGCCCTAGGCAACACAAAAATCGTCTGCCCGCATGGACACCGACCAACTCCACCCCATCCCCCTCCTGCGGAGAGAGCCTGACATTGACCAACCACACCCCTGCCCCCCACCTGGGAAAGCCTTAAACTATCCCCCCCCCCCCCGGCAATAGAGAGAAAGACACTCATCTTCACAGCTCCAGACATCCCCGGGAAAGAGAGTCTGGCTCTACATACACCATCAAGCAGCCTCTCTCGGAACCCACTTGGTTCCCATAGTGCGTGTATCCCTTCTTTCATCCCTTCTTCTGGGAAGAGGTGCTGCCCCCCTAAAAAATGCCGCCCTAGGCAAATACCTTGTTTGTTTTGTGGTAAACACGCCCCTGCGAGTAAGTGTTGTTTTCCTAAGAAAGGATTCACCATGTAAAAAATAAAAAGAAAGCCTAAAGCAATGAAGTGCACTTTTCAAAAGCAATTGGTCTTTGCTGGAATCCAGAGAATGACTGAGCTGAATCTAGGAACTGAGTGGTTTCCATGATAGCTGATATTCATAATTAATGATCACCCAACAAAATCTTTAACAACAGACCACATGCTTATACTAAAATTGAACACAATGCTTGCCTTAGTCTTCTGTAAACCTTTAATGATGGTGCTCTTGTTTGGATTTGGAATACTTTCATCCCACTGCTTTGTATATCTGAAATACAAATTAATAAATAAATAATCTTATTTGTAACAGTTTTTAATCAGCAAGCTGAAAATTTTCTGTAACTGACAGCACTAAATACTGTTACTCAACCATTTTCTGCCCAGAGTACAATACATTGATGCCTAAGTACCCAAACCAAATTTAGCAGCACCAGTATGTCTATTAACTCAACAATAACTGTATTACTAGTTTAAGGCTAAGTTTTTGTAGCATATCCCCAATTATATCTTTCCTCTTCTTGTACAACTCCAACCTGTGTCATGTGCACCAACATGCACTATCCCATTGATCAAAATCAGCCTCCAATCAGTAACAACCATTAACATGCTAGATGTGCTGCCTATACAGTAGGTTTCAACCAGGCATTGTTAAAAAGCTCCATACCTAAATACTTTAAATAAAATGCTGCAATGGTCACCTAAAAAAAAAAGCATTTTTGGTGTGATTATTATATCAGTAAGCACATTAAAAGAAACCTGTCCTAAGAGCACCATGCAGTTTTCCACTGCATTTCCATGTGTATATAAATACTGTACATGTGGGTTATACTCACCTTACCAGAGCGCTGTATCCACAAACAGCAAATAATACAAATATGATGACACATATAGGAATCATGATGTACAGCACAATGAGACTGGGAACTAAAAAAATAGAACAAATAAAATCAGAAATATATTAAATATTAAGTATTAATACTAAGGTAATAAAGTTGACCCAGAGCTAAGCAAAATAAATATACACATGGCCAGAATTTTGAAAGTCATTTGGAATACCTAATATCTCAGTGTGTATGGCATTCCTGACATTTACCTGGCTCACCAAGGTATTATCAAGAGAATAAAAATCTTTGTTTGACCTCTATATTTAGAGAAAATTCAGAGACAGCCACAGTACATTATAATTAACAGCAGGGACATACGCTGCATAACTAATAATCATAGGAACATTTTCATGATGCTCTCATGAATATAACATTTTAGATCCTTTAATGCACATTCTATATACAGGCGTGTTCAAACGTTTGCATACCCTGGCAGAAATCATGAAATTTTAGCATTGATATTGAAAATATGACTGATTATGCCAAAAACTGTCTTTTATTTAATGATAGTGATCATAGCAAGCCATTTATTATCACTATTAAGCTACTAAATTAGTTATTTGGCTCCTTTTTAAATCATAATGATAACAGAAATCACCCAAATGGTCCTGATCAAAAGTTTACATACCCTGGAATGTCTGGCCTTGGTGCAGACACACATAGGTTAAAATGACAATTAAAAAGGTACATTTCCCTCATCTGTGGCTTTTTAAATTGCAATTAGTGTCTGTGTATAAATAGTCAATGAGTTTGTTAGAGCTCACGTGAATGCACGGTGAATTCTAGATACTGAGCCATAAGGAGCAGAAAAGAACTGCCTGCGTAACAAGCTAATGGAACTTTTATAAAGATGGAAAAGGATATAAAAAGATATCCAAAGCTTTGAATATGCCAGTCAGCACTGTTCAATCACTTAAGAAGTGGAAAATTCAAGGATCTCTTGATACCAAGCCAAGGTCAAGTAGATCAAGAAAGACTGCAGCCAGAAGAATTGTTCAGGATACAAAGAAAAACCCACAGGTAACCTCAGGAGAAATAGAGGCTGCTGTGGGAAAAAGATGACATGGTTGTTTAAAGGAGTACAATACAATGATACTTGAAAAAAATGAGCTGCATGGCTGAGTTGCCAGAAAGAAGCCCTTAATTGAAAATTGATGGCAAGATAAATGCAGCATGTTATCAGAAAATACTGGCAGATAATTTGCATTCTTCTGCATGAAAGCTGCTCATGGGATGCCCTTGGACTTTCCAGCACGACAATGACCCTAATTAGGCACAAGGCCAAGTTGACCCTCCAGTGGTTACAGCAGAAAAAGGTGAAGGTTCTGGAGTGGCCATCACAGTTTCCTGGCCTTAATATGATTGAGCCACTCTGGGTAGATCTCAAATGTATGGTTTATGTAAGACAACACTTTGCATGACCTGAAAGACAAATGGGTAGCTATACCAGCTGCAAGAATTTGGGGCCTCATGGACAACTTTTACAAAAGACTGCACGCTGTCATTGTGGGGCAATACACAGTATTAAGAACAAAGGATATGCAGACGTTTGAACAGGGGTCATTTCATTTGTTTACCTGTTGCCATGTCTGTTTCATGATTGTGCCATCCTGTTATGACCTACCATTGAATATGAATCCCATAAGAAATAAATGCTTTTTGCCTGCTCACGCATGTTTTCTTTAAAAATGGTACATACTGTATATTACCAATTCTCCAAGGGTATGCAACATTTTTAGCACAATTGTATATTTAAATCTTCAACAAATGACATGTAAAATTAACCTGGTGTAGTTCATTCTGTGGCTTTGTTCTCATGAGTGTATCTTAGCATACATCTTCATGAAAGGCCGTTTTTGCCTGCAAGGTATTCACAGGTGTTCCATGAATGCATGTCAAGCAGTCCTATTCATATCTACTGGGATGCAGAAGCTTTTATCAGATTCTTATAAAAAGTGTTCACTCCCTTGAAAGTTTTCATGTTTAATTGGTATATAACATTAAATCAAGATGGATTTAATTTTGTTATGTTGACACTGGTAATTAGAAATATACTTCTTCATGTCAAAATAAAAACGGTTCTCTGTTAAGTGGTTTACTGGTCTTTCTTGGTAATAATGTTTGTGCAATATAACCAGGATGAAACACATCTCATATATATTGGAATTTACAGTGGAACTTAATTCAGAAAATTAAATCCTACTAGATCCCTTCATGTTGGCTCCCTTTACAGGTATAGTTATCTAAAACATTAAAAATAAGTGTCTATACTGTTTAAAATCCAGTAATACACTGTATCACCCTGCATTGTACATGCTCAATTGCTCTCCTTTTTTAGGCATTTTTAGGTGCTGCTGAATCTGTAGAGTTCGATCTGCTGACAGCCTTTAAGCAGAATTAAACCTTCCTATCCTTTACAGCCAAGTAAGCTGCTTCTGTTTGATCTCCAACTGCCAAACCAGCCATTTGATGGTTTGACAGTTTGAGGACACAAGCAAATGTGACAATTAGCAATCCCCAGGCATTCCAGGAATCTGTTTTTTGAAACAGTTAAATCAATGGGTTTAGTTCCACTTTATGATTTACTGCTGTTTTGGGGCTCTGGGTTTAAGCAAAATGGCAGCCGTCAGCAAGAAGAAACAGGAACAATGCTGGAGGCAATTTACAGTACATACAAATTTTTGCATAATTATTAATGTGGAATGTATGTTCCTTGCTAAAGAACATTATTTTTTTTATCAAGTTGTTATGGGTAAAGTTCCACTTTAATATTTATAAGTTCAGACTTGAGAGTTTTGAGATGCAGATCCATAAGCGCTCTGACTGTCTAAGTTCAGTTGTTGCATGCAAGCGATCGCTGAACGAGATGGAGAGGAGAAGCATCATGATGTTCATCTCATTCAGAGGACAACTTTCATTCATGGAAAAAAAAAATACAAGATGTTCTCTAAATGGTGGAAGTGCTGAGTGAGTGATCCCCATGTTCAACATAGGGAAGGATAGCCGCTTGAGCAGCAACCAAAAGAAACCAGTCCCGTTTATACATACAGTGGGGCTAAAAAGTATTTAGTCAGCCACCAATTGTGCAAGTTCTCCCACTTAAAAAGATGAGAGAGGCCTGTAATTGGCATCGTAGGTAGACCTCAACTATGAGAGACAAAATGAGAAAAAAAAAACCAGACAATCACATTGGCTGATTTGAAAAGAATTTATTTGCAAATTATGGTGGAAAATAAGTATTTGGTCAATATCAAAAGTTAATTTCAATACTTTGTTATATATCCTTTGTTGGCAATGACAGAGGTCAAACGTTTCCTGTAAGTCTTCACAAGGTTGGCACACACTGTTGCTGGTATGTTGGCCCATTCCTCCATGCAGATCTCCTCTAGAGCAGTGAAGTGATGTTTTGGGGCAGTCACTGGGCAACACGAACTTTCAACTCCCTCCAAAGGTTTTCTATGGGGTTGAGATCTGGAGACTGGCTAGGCCACTCCAGGACCTTGAAATGCTTCTTACGAAGCCACTCCTTCGTTGCCCGGGTGGTATGTTTGGGATCATTGTTATGTTGGAAGACCCAGCCATGTTTCATCTTCAATGACCCTGCTGATGGAAGGAGGTTTGCCCTCAAAATCTCACAATACATGGACCCATTCATTCAGTCCCGTACATGGATCAGACGTCCTGGTCCCTTTGCGGAGAAACAGCCCCAAAGCATGATGTTGCCACCCCCATGCTTCACAGTAGGTATGGTGTTCTTTGGATGCAACTCAGCATTTCTCTCTCCTCCAAACACGACGAGTTGTGTTTCTACCAAACAGTTCTATTTTGGTTTCATCTGACCATATGACATTCTCCCAATCCTCTTCTGAATCATCCAAATCCTCTCTAGCAAACTTCAGATGGGCCCGGACATGTACTGGCTTAAGCAGGGGGACACGTCTGGCACTGCAGGATCTGAGTCCCTGGCGGCGTAGTGTGTTACTGATGGTAGCCTTTGTTACGTTGGTCCCAGCTCTCTGCAGGTCATTCACTAGGTCCCCCCATGTGGTTCTGGGATTTTTGCTCACCGTTCTTGTGATCATTTTGACCCCATGGGGTGAGATCTTGCGTGGAGCCCCAGATCGAGAGAGATTATCAGTGGTCTTGTATGTCTTCCATTTTCTAATTATTGCTCCCACAGTTGATTTGTTCACACCAAGCTGCTTGCCTATTGCAGATTCAGTCTTCCCAGCCTGGTGCAGGTCTGCAATTTTGTTTCTGGTGTCCTTCGACAGCTCTTTGGTCTTCCCCATAGTGGAGTTTGGAGTGTGACTGTTTGAGGTTGTGGACAGGTGTCTTTTATACTGATAACAAGTTCAAACAGGTGCAATTGATACAGGTAATGAGTGCAGGACAGAGGAGAGCCTCTTAAAGAAGAAGGTACAGGTCTGTGAGGGCCAGAAATCTTGCTTGTTTGTAGGTGACCAAATACTTATTTTCCACCATAATTTGCAAATAAATTCTTTCCAAATCAGCCAATGTGATTGTCTGGATTTGTTTTCTCATAGTTGAGGTCTACTTATGATGCCAATTACAGGCCTCTCTCATCTTTTTAAGTGGGAGAACTTGCACAATTGGTGGCTGACTAAATACTTTTTTGCCTCACTGTAACACAAGCTACAACAGTGAAGTTCTGCATCTCTAACAGCTCCCAATATGTGAGATATGAAGAATTAGATGTAACCAAGCTTTACCAAAGTAAGTTTTTAAAAAAAGAGAATTCCAGGAGTTCTATTTTGAGGCAGAGGTTCAGCATGACAGCCAAGCAGCTAGTATTTTCAGAAATAAAACAAAATAAACCAATCAGCAAGCTTCTAATTCTGCAGTTGTGCTAAAGACACAATATTCTTTCAGTTTATCTTAATCTTAGTATTGTGCATTCATTGCATACACATGCACATTGTTTTGCATCAAGGACAATGGGATAACAGTAAGAATGAAGGCCCATTTAAGCCCCTTGGGAAAGGGAGCCTTGGCTGAGTAAGTGGGTGGATATTGGCA